ATTAAGTACCATCAAAAAAGCTTATAAGAATCTAAAATGAAATTTACGAAAACTGTTATTCATAGGAGGGGTTGATTCTGATGAGATTAAGACTTTTTCGAGGTTGTTAATAATAATAATTACAACAATAAAACAAAATAAATATAAGAATTAATTTCTTTGTAGTAGTATAAGAATGCTGCTAACAATTAAAATTTATTTACTGACCAATAATAATAAACTATTCAAAAAAAGAAATAGTTAATTCGAAAAAATTCAAATACGTATTAACACTGTTCGCACAACCCTAATGTAGAAGTACCATATCATGTATAGAATAAAAAAAATTTTTTTTTGACAAAAATAAATAATTGAAAATGCAAAATAATTAAGTATTTTCTTAATGAACCTACTACAGTATTTAAAATTTCATAAAATGTGTTATGATTATAAAAATTTTTAGTTTCCAGTATACTGTAAACTTAATAATTAAAAAAGTAAACAAACTTACCCTAAAACTCATTTCTAAATTTTCGCCACCCCAAATATCCATACCCTCGTCGTAACTTCCTATTTCGTAAAAGTAATCCTTGTCAATCGAAAACAGACCTCCTGCCATTGTCGGAGACCTGAGGGGTGCTGTTCGATCACCTCCCCTTCGGTCCATTTCTCGTTGTGGAACACGGTACCTAAACAATGAAAGCAAACACATTAAAACAAAGAAAGGAACTAACAATAAGGTAATAAAGTTCCAAGATAGTTTAAAAAATATATAGCTCAACAGCATCGAACGTGTTGTTAATGAGTGCCGCAGGTAACGATCGATATTGTGCCGCCAAAAGCGGTCATAAATCAACCAACATCACTCTTACAGTTGCGATATCTTTCGATTGACCTTTAACTACATTTATAAGCGCAGAACCATGATGAATCCCGAAAGGGAATCACTCTTTCTGCTAAAAAAAAGAAGTAACAATTTCAAATAGGTTTATTATAAATCAAAAGTTTCATCATAATTATAATTTTCATAGTCAGTATAAAAAGACTTCTTAGACGTTCTAAATATGTTAGAAAAAAATCTAAATTTTCTCAGAATGTGCTTATTTGTGTATATTTAAAGTAATGTAAAATAAGGGAACTATGTTTAATAACTGAAGAGTATAAGTATGAGAACTATAATTAATAAAATTTACCTATTGTTTAAGTCAATGCATGTTAGAATTAACTTTACAGTAGTCACACAATGGCTTATTTTAGGTTAGTATTATAGTTATTTGAAACTGTAGATTTAATGTGCTTTTCACAGCGGTAAACCATCATAAAAAAGAAAAAAACAGTCTACTAAGTAGTTTTTCATACTATCCCAACCAAAAATTAATTATACCTAACATATTTTCCAAGCAATACTAGAATTTCCATTATCTGAAGCTATTGCGTATCTAATGGACCGAAATTTGTGAATAGTATCAATTCTTGTTGCGAATAAAGAACAAAAAATTATTGAAAAGAAGCCACCGAGGAGCGTAACTACAAATGTTTCTACTATTGTTTTTTATTCTTTACTTATAAAGACAAGAAAGGCTGTAGATTTACAAATCAAGGCCATATCGAAAATTTATTTAAATTTCCTGTAAGAAATGCAAATTGAATTGATGCCTAATACAAATGAGAAGATGTTATTTCTCCTTGTCCTTGTCCTTGTTACCTGAATTTACACACAAAAACTACAATTACTAAAAATAAGTGCAAAATTTATTTTTAAAATGCATAATTATGTATTACGAAATAGATAAATTATTGTTTAACGAAAACATTAACTAGACACTTGAACTATTTCTTACTTATATCACACGGTATTTAGAAAGCTTATGTATTCACCACTGTATTTATATCACTCTGTATTCGCTCGTAATTCGCACTGTTTATTTATATTTCTGATCACTATCTATCTATAATGTTATCGAATCCTCTGAAAGAGTTTTCAATCTTCATGTGAATTCCTATTGTTAGCAGGCAAATATGCGTCACTCAAGGTATGATTTATTATCCTCCGCGTCATTAACTACGGACATACTCAAGAACCGCAAAGAATCTATTGATTATCACTTACATACTTGTACATAATAGTGTCCCTTACTCAAAGATGATCCAACCCGGATTATGTTATGTCCCTCCTTCAAACCGTCAAATGGTAGTAGCAATCAATTGAGCGGATTCTCGTCGTTAATTGCCGGTGTATTCCGTCTCATTGAGGATACAGAGGAATAGACAGGGTTTTGTAAATTCCCAGTTTATTACAAATGTCCTGAAATAAAGTGGATTCGAAGTTTCATCCCTGGTCAGAACGGAACCCCACTTGTACATGGAATCAGCTGATCAGGTGCTTGACGAGCTCTTCCGCCACTGTGGTGGCTCTCCGTAAACAGTCTTGATAGACGACATCAATGACAATTCTCTCAAATGGGCTGCTGACATTATAATGACGCATGAAGACACGCTGTCACTTTCGTGATCCCTTATTGGCTGCGCAAATCGTATATTTTCTACACCAATCTTCAATGTCCTTCTTGCAGCTGACTCAATAAAATCGCTCACGTACTCTTCCAAAGGTCTTACTAACACCAAAATGTTCTACCGAAGAACCGTCATGAAGGTATTGTAGAACTTCTTTCACTAAATTTCGGGGGTATGGTCAGTTGATGTCTGCTTTCAATACCACCCTGGTATCATACCACCCGCTTCAGAAGACCATCTTCTTCAACTAATCCCATAACGATTTCCCTTTGGCAGACTTACCAACCACTTGTTCCCAGGCCGGTTGTCTTCCTTCATTTTTCCATTCTCAGAGCAACATCAAGGTTGAATCTTGTTTTGTCTTGATGTTGTTCTGCTCCCATTGTTCGTTTGTACCAGTTATCCTACTGACTTCCGGCCATAGTCCTTGGGATATAGCGTCGGCATTATTGTGGGTATGTCGTATTCTAGGAACCTTTCTATCCAACGTGCTGCTTAATCTTCACGACTCTTTTAATTTAGCAGCAAGTCAGTCCGGGGCAAAAGGTCCCCTTCCATGCGGGTACTCGTTGAAATGCTCCACGCTCTTCCCTACGGATACAGTTTTCACCTAGTTACACACTAGTTCCGGTCAGGCTTAGGCAGAGTTCTGCTGAAACAGCCGATGACTTTTTTGTTTCATTTCGTATTGCTCGTGTCGGTGTTTGCAATGAATTTCCTGGTTGGTAGAGGTGTGGAAGCGAGGACTTGCATTGACTTCTCTAATGCAGACTACTAGTTGGTCTACTTCCTTCGGTAAGTCGTGCCATAGGCCTTGCAATGTTAGCAAATCCAGGAACGTATCGTCTGTAATACGTACAAAGTCCAAGAAAACTTCGGACTTGATATACATCGGTATTGACCACTCCTGCACTTCGAATAATTCGACAGAATACAGACCACTTCGAATTATTTTATTCCATTATGGTAACGTGCCTATCACGTTGAGGTGAGCTACGCCGGGATTCGTTTCAGCAAGTAGATATCCACACAAGTGGACCTTGTTGGAGCATACCTAATCCTAAAATGTAGCATCGTACTACAGATTTGTCGTATTTTCAAAAACGCACTGTTAAGACAGCAGGTAAAAGTTGGTCTGTGTTCTGTCAGAGCTGTTTGCAACGCGCTGATGAGATTCAAAACGATCGAAATCGCGATCCGCGTCTGGCAGTTTCGACAGAATACAGACCACTTCTAATTATTTTACTTCTGCACTGTTTAATCGTCTTGACCGCAACTACCGGCGTCATCCGAGGGCTGATGGCTAATGGTTCAGTTACCCCGTCTTGGCCAATGGCAGTCTTCATGGTTTCTGTTGGATAGCTTCCGCTCCGACAACGACATTGGTAGGCCCCTTCTATCATTTTTCAATTCCAACACAACTTGGAATTGTTCAGTAATTCTTTTCGAATTCTCTGGAACAGTTTTCATTTTTCTCGACAATTCCGAAACTCCTTTTGTTAAGCAAACAAATATACGTCACGTACGGTATGATCTTAGTAGAATGGTTGTCGACCATTGGTTGGTCCTTGCCTGCAGGCATACTCGATAGTCGTCAGGAATCAATCACGTGCATGCTTGTACTTCGTTTTCAGACATATTTCATTTTAAATGCACTTTTATTTTAGTTAACTTAAGGAAGTTGTTTCACGACATTACTAGTAAAAAGTTTATGCTAGAGTGTATCGTACAGTCAGTTAGTAGCCGTGATACCTAAGCCTAAAACTTTTTGCCTGTTACTGCACTATTCCCAGCCAATCCCGTACCGCTCTGCATTCGTGTATCTCTTCTACTATTTGAGTGCGATAAATTGTTCGTTATTTATTAATTAATATCTCAGAAATTGTGTTGTTATAATTAATCAAACTTTTTTCAAAGAAGTTATTAGACATTGTTTAGTCTTTCTGTAGTTTTTTAAAACATTTGTAAGAAGGGATTCCAAGTTAACATTGTATTTCTAGTTAGCCTCGCCGGTATCCTGTATAGTACAATGTATAAGAGCCGCAAAAACGCGAACTTTGAAATTAAATATCTCTGAAACTATATTGTCCAATAATTTCAGTCTGCACATATAGGTGAAGAATAACTTAAATAAAATTTCAAAAGAATCCTAAGAAAACGCTTTTCATGGAACAACTACCTTAAGCTCACCACATAGAACTTCATGCACGTTAATTAAACCTTCTCCGCCATAACCTAAACTAAACCCTTGCAGCATAGTGCTTCACACAGGCCGATCAAGGAGTCTCCTCTCACCATATCCAAACTATGTCCATCGTGCATAGCATCTCACAAAAACCTCTCTTACCATTACATAACGTAAGCCGATGGTGTAAAGTACTAAATCAGGATTGTTCCTTACGAAATTATATAAACCTATGCTCATTTTGTCCTACCATACCAGGTATTATGCCACAAACAGACCCACACATAAAAAGCACCAAACGCATGACACTCGAAGGTTAAACATAATAAAATATAAATTATATCAGAAAAAGTGGTATGAAATAAAATTAACTCACCATCTGAAGTTAAGTTTCCAATTGAATCCGCCCCATGTCATATCGGAAGCGGTTATGTATTCGAACGTCTCGTCGGAAATGACATCTATTATTGGACACACGACTGTCTTCCGATTGTCGGCAATGCGGGCGAGCAATGGCTCAAGCCATCCTTCCGCACATTCACAGTGGGCGTCCAAAAACGTAATCACTTCGCCCTTAACGTGTTTCGCGCCCAACAGCCGAGCGCGGATTAGACCCGAACGTTTACCCGTACGTAAAACTATCACCGACACCGGAAGTGTTTTAACATACTCTTCCAATTTCTTGCCCAGATAATCTGTAACAAAAGAATATACTCATGAAACACATATGTAAACAAAGAGGAGGAAACGTCTATGTCAGCGCTGTCCAACTTATCATAGCCCGCGGGCAATATTTTCTTAACCAAACATTTCGGGGGTCAAGAAGATTTATAAATGTAAAGTCAGTTTTTATTGTTTTGCCTGAAATGTGATGAAAATAGTTTGCATACCCTTTCGTGATCTCTATAGAACAGCGCTGTCCAACTTATCATAGCCCGCGGGCCATATTTTCTTCACCAAACATTTCGGGGGCCAAGAAAATTTATAAATGTAGTCAGTT